TTACAATTTCAAAAGAAAATCTGCCTGGTGTGATCAAAAACAAAGCTACTGAAACAGAACAAAACCAAGGGGAGTTCTAAATAGCGTGCCTTGCGTTGCAACGACTCGTTACTGTGTTCTAGAAGCTGAATAAAAAATAGAGCTGTTCCCCTTCAGATCCATCCCATGAAGCCATTTTTGGTAGTTAGCGGACACCACTTAATGATATCCTTCTTCCTTTGTTTGACAAGAGAAAATGAGATGAACGACAGGCTGGAGCCACTTCCAGGACAACGTTGTAAATTAGACAAATAAAGTTCCATTTACTAGTTGTTTCTCTGAAACTTTACAAGAAGGTTTACGAGTCAGAAGGCGGTATTTCCTCAGAGAAACACGACACCACGAACTGGCGGAAGGTCATACAAACTTATGGAGACATGTCCTGTGGCTCATTACAAATGTGTCAGACGTGTAAGTCGTCATCTTGGTTTTTATTGGAATATTTGGAATAGTACGGCTTAGGTTGCCAGTAAATGGGAGTGTTGAGCGTGACATGCTCCTGTTTAATATCATGTTAGCCATTAAACGGAATACAGGGAAGACTTGTTCACCATAACTGGAAATCTCACTGTGAATGAGAAGCTGCACAAAGAGAGGCTCCAGGAAGCATTTCATTTGATGCTAAACTAGCTTGAGCTCAAACTCAAACTAAAATAAATTAAAAAAAAATTACAAACCAAAACTTCCTAAGATTTAATGATGGAACAAGTACTTTGTTGCTGTACTTAACTACAATTCTGCCCTTTCCTTAAAGAGCAAGTCACCCCCCAAATAAACATTTTTTTTGCTGATAAACTAAATAAATGAGTGTCTTAATCGTGCTGCAGACACGTGTCGTCAATAATTTGGCACTTCAGTGCATCTTAGTTAAAATTTAAATATTCTGCCTAAAACTGGCAGTGTTGTGCCGTTGTCAGGTAAAAACTCTGCACTGTATTTTAATTTAAATCTGCCACTGCTATTGGCTAAGAAGTATGCTATGATGTAAACTGGTACATTATGATGTCACAATGCTGTCGTGAGCCTGAGTGTGTGTGTATTTGTTAGCGGCTCCGCCCTCTCGGTCTGCCAGGCAACAGCATGTGTTGCATTTTTCAAACATGAAGTGGGAGTGGAATTAGACTCTGGTAGGGGTTGACTTGCTCTTTAAGTCATTTTCTTGATGCCTTTTACTTTTACTCCACATTTTAAAGCAAGTTTCTGTATTTTCTACCACACTACACACTCCACTGCAGTTCCAAAGGTAATAGTCCTTATTTGCATGTTGCCCCCTCACTGCATATTTAAATATTTGTCAAATACTTTCACTTTTTTACTTTCATGTGATGTATACTTTACACAAGTCAAACATTTCATACTTCTAGTTTTACTTACATATAATCTTTATCTGTAATTTTGCTTAAGTAAAAAAAACTATCAAGTGCTTTTTTCACCAATACTGCATGGGTGTCATGCACTCCTAACTCTTTATTGTCCATGCCACAAAAAAAAAGAAAAAAAAAAGAATGAGAATTCAGTTTTGTGCATTTTCATTGATTTTATGGCATCATGCTTTATATTATTAGTGCAGAAAATAAAAACCATTCCAAAGGTAACGTCTAACCTAGCTTCCCAAGGGCCACTCTCCTGCATGTTTTAGATTCAGCTCATTGTATTTGAACCGATGCGTCTTTAGCAGGGTTCTGCAGGTTTTGGGAGCGTCTTCAATATTTCAACAGCATGGTGGCACAGTTGTTAGCACTGTTGCCTCGCAGCACGGAGGTTGCAGGTTTGAAACTCGGCTGTGGCCTTTCTGCGTGGAGTTGCGTGTTCTCCCCATGCATGCGTGGGTTTCCTCCGGGTACTCCGGTTTACCCCACAGATCACAACATGCCCTATAGGTCATAAATTGTAAGTCGCTTTGGATAAAAGCGACTGCTAAATGAATAAACAGAAACATAAACAAATCCACTATGAAATCAGGTCATTTGGAGCGGAAACAACCAAAACATGCAGGATGGCGGCCCTCAAGGACTAAGATTGGATATTGTTAAACTTGTGTTTCAAACATTCCCTACAAAAATTTCTCTGGTCAGTTTGGTGCACTCTTCAATAAAACGCTAGACAACAATTTCATCTCATAAAAGAGTTAGGATCTCAACCAAATGGATCATACATAGATTAGAATGGTTCCTAATCAAGTAAGGTTGATTAGATGGATTTCTTTTATATGGTGGCTGCCTTGGCACGACCTCACAGCGGCTCCTTCTCAAAATGAGCCAGCTGAGGAGGACGTTAGGATGTCACCTCCCTCTGAAACTCTTCAGGTTAGTTGGAGAAGAGATTTTAATCTTCTCTGGCCTGGGAACACTTTGGAATCCCCCTGGAGGAGCCAGATAGGGACACTGGGGAGAGGGAAGCCTAGGTGATCTTGGATACTGGGGCAGCATTAGATCAGGTGGTACAGCTGTTCATCCAGTAATTGGAAGGTTGCAGCTTCAATCCCAGCTTCCGGCAGAGAATTCTGCTGTTGTGTACTTGGGCAAGACACCTAACCCTCCTTGCCTGCTGGTGGTGGTCGGAGGGACTGGAGCCTTGCCTCTGTCAGTGCGCCCCAGGGTGTGAATGTGTGTGTAAATGGATGAATGATACACATTTAAAGTGCTTTGAATTCCTCTGATTCTGAAAGACGCTGTACCAGTGAGGCTCATTTATCACTTAGAGGAGAGAATGGGTGGATCAGTAAAATGCAATTTGAAAAAGAAATCTGTGAGCAAAATCCCACAAATAAGAACGAACAAGCTGGATGAATAACCCATTTCTTTGGTAGTGTTGATCTGGATCAGGCAGTGAAAGCCAACTTTTTACAGGATTATCACTTTTAAAGCAGCTGTTTAAGAGAAATCTGCTTTGGACAACACAGTGGACACCAGGGACAGATGTAGTGGGGGTTCTCACGATCTAAACATGGACATGGACGCCCACACAAGTCCGAATGCATCTGTGCACAGGAACATGAGCTCTATCCTGTCTGAATAAAGAATGTTTCTCCAGAGTTTCACAGAATTACTCCCTAATCTCAGGCACTTGCACACTGAGTCCTTTGGTAGGATCTTGTGAGGAGACAGAATCTGTTTGTTCTGGTTCTTATACATAAGACTGGAGCCGGCGTTGAAGTGAGGGAGGAGGAAAACTCATCATTATTCCACAGTTACTCAGCCTATGTCTGCCTGAATAATGATGCCACTGCCGGAGAGGTGCCCCCATGTTGTCAGCAGGCTTCTTCCGGCAAAGTAGATGATTTTTGTTGTTGTTTGTTTTCAAATTTAATTGCCAAAGCTCCAACGTTGCAGGCAGCATACTTGATAAACAGGATGAATAATGTTAATGAGAATTGCAGAGCTTATGGGAACACAGAATTTGGGCTGTGTAAATGAATGATAAGAAAAAAAAAACATTAACAAAATGTAAACAACCAGCCAAGCAATGTCCTACATGTGACTGTCATACAAGAATGGGCTGTGTTTACAACTCCACAGCGTGCACCCTAAAGGTGCTTTTAGAGAAGAACAGAGTCCTCCTGACATTAAAAAGAAAAACAAGACTCGTGCACAGGCCTTGCTTGTGCAGCTGTGTTTAACGTGTATTTTTTGGAACGGGTGGAGCACCTGATTTGTCAGAGCTGATCCTGCGAGAAGGCTGTCAGGCTGCAGAGGAGAAGATTTGTTAGGACGGTGAAGAGAGGGAGCCTTCTAGCCTGCAGAAGTCATTATTTCAGATATTAACTATTCATGATTTAAAGCTCAAAAGTGCCTTTGGCTTCTAGCAGTTTCATGGAAACCAGTGGGCTTTTAACCCCTTCAGTGAATGTGACTCAAACAGAACAATCTTCCACTCAACTTTGAGAAAAGTCCTTTTATTTTAAAATTCGATTTGCTCATTTAAAAAGTTTAAAACTGAAGTAACTGCAGATCTGATGATTCAGGATCATTGAGAGGATGCCTCACATGTAAAAATGCAATGGGATTAAAGTGGATTTGACTTTTCAGGACTTTTTACAGTGTTTTTCCAAAAACTAAATTCCATTACTTAAATGATTAATGATTTGTGAGGATCAAAATTGTGACTCTGGGTGATTTATGAGAAACTGATGGTGCTCTTATTGGTAATCTGCCTTGACCCAACCCTGGGATTTGTCACACCAGTTGAAGCTGTTTCTTTCATATTGAGATTATTCTTAATTAGATTTGATCCAAACTGACCAAGAACAGAGCTTCTCTTCTCAGGCTCTGGTTTACTTTGATTTTCACCTAAAACAACACACTTTTTAAAGAGTCACAATTGAAATAGTAGATCTAATGTTTTTTTTTAATATATCAGGTTTCAATGATTACAGTTAGTTATTAATCTGTTCCAATCCAGCCGCTGCGTAACTCTGCTTCAGGTTTTGGCACGAACATTCTCCAGGAGCCTCTCGTGGATGACAGCAGGGCTGTAGCTGCTGTAGCTCAGACTACCGCTAGAAGACCAACGCCGCGGTCCTCCTACTCCAGCTCCAGAGCGCAGCTCACGGCACCAGGAACTGTTTTCATCAGCCAATGAATGGGACTCCGCTGTGCGCTGGATCCAGGGCTCAGCGGGACGCACAAGAGGAGGAAAGTAGTGTTTTTCCTTCTTCTCTCACTGAGACCAGAGCTGTGAGAAAAGACGCAGCGATGACTGGGCAGCAGCGGTGGAGACAAGACTGAGAACAGATTAATGACACCCACATGGGCGCGCGGTGGATGTGATTCCTGACCGCCGCAGCTGGCTTGGATGGGTTACCAGTCCCTGCTTCCAGCGTTTCCGGAACACTTCTGAGGTCTCGGACGATTGTGAGTGTTGCTGCGGACTAACGGGGAATGCCATGTGTCGTTGCGCCACATAGAAAGCTCCCTGTGGGCTGTTTTGCGCTGCGGACAGGTGGCGCCGAGTGTGTCTGTGTGCTTAACGGGGGGTACGCACACACAGCCAACCCCCGAGACAGTTGTCTTATGGATGTCAGTCCGGCGTGCGGGTTGAGTTTTGTCCAGAGACAGGTGCGACACAGAGGAGTAGTTTACAAAGCCCTGCGCAGTAACGCACTTAACGAGCCGCTCACGGATTTTTCGCATCCAGTGGGACTCACACACTTTGAGCCATACTATTGTTCCCTCGGCGGCGCCTTTCTCCGGATCACCAGAGGTAAGTGATCCAAAGGGTCCGGTGTTGGGAGGGCTGCTGCGCGGGGAGGTGCTGGTGCGCGCGCGCGCGCGCCGCTGTGACATCCTTGATGATGCTTTTATTTTTTCATGGATTGATAAGTAATTGGTCTACGAAGATTTGAAGTGATCAAAATAAAATGATCTTCAAATCCAAGCTGATATTTACGGCCCAGAAGGTGCAGTAAACCCGAATAACAAAATCAGAATTTAAACTGCGTAGCTTGCAGCCACGCGCACAAATAGACCCAACTGTCCGGAGGCTGAGCAGACATCTCTCTATCATTAGTCATTTTGTAAATATTGAACACATAATTGTGTTTCTTGTATATTATTTTACAAAAAAAGCAACTAAATAAGACACATTTTGGACTTTCGTTTTCCTTTATAACAGTTTTTAAAGGGTGAAATGACTATTTTTTAATTTCGTGCTGCAGCTGCAGAATTATGTTGCCCTCTTATGTGAGATCCATGTATTTGTTTTCTATTATGTCTGCTGGTCCTGCTTTACAGCTCCAGCACACCCATCTCCCTCTGCAGAGCCTTCTGTACAGTAGATGCAGGTCTGCAAACTCCCAGGTGCTTCATGTCGCCCCAAGTTATCCCATTTGCGAGTCACGTTTTGTTTTGGCCTCATCAAATAGGCTTTCAGCTGCATTTTGTCCACTTCTGAGGTTTGTGGACTGAAGAGAGTGACAGAGAAGTCTCCAAAGGGGTAGGGTCTTCTCAAAATGAGACCCCCCCCCTCCCCCCGGTTTATGTGAGATATCTAAAGAAAGTGTGTGTGTGTGTGTGTGTGTGTGTGTGTGTGTGTGTGTGAGAGAGAGAGAGAGAGAGAGAGAGAGAGAGAGAGAGAGAGAGAGAGAGAGAGAGAGAGAGAGAGAGAGAGAGAGAGAGAGAGAGAGAGAGAGTTCCCTGGATCAGATAATTCCCTGGACATGCACAGTGGTTAGCAGACTAATATGTGTGCTTGCATGCGTGTGTGTGCATGTGTATGTGTGTGTGTGTGTGTGTGTGTGTGTGTGTAAGGATAGAATCAACCAAGAAAACAGCTGTACCTTCACTAACCTTCCTGTCACTCTTAACGGTATCAATCAACCCTGGAGGACAAAAGGTCTGTTTAATCCCTCTTCCTCTGGGGTGTCCCTGCATGCTCTAACAGTCAGGGCTGCTGCTGCTGCAAGATCCTGCCTCCCCACTGCTCAAATGATTCATCAGACCCTGCTTCAGACCTTTTATTCGACTGTTGCAAAGAGCAAACGCACGGTGGTGATGAAAGGATGAAAGTTGGGATGAAACATGCTGGTAGATGAAAGGAGAGATGATCAGAAATGTCTCTAATCATCGGTATTGTGCTACTTCCTTGACATAGCACTGGGTAGATATTCTCCTTTCCCATCCACCATGCCACCAAAGTACAAAAGTGAATCAATAGAGAAGCAGAAACAAGTGGATTTTAGTCACAGGACTTGGATTTGAGTCAAACTCTAGTCACAAACTCTAGTCACATGGTGATTTTAGACCAACGAGGCTGTTGACTCAAATGTTTGCAATCTTATCTAAGGAGCATGAAAAAAATATGAAATGCAACATCATTAGTCTTTTGATGAAGGTCTGTTATGTTTGTAACTTGATTGGTCATGTTATTGCACATTTTATGGTGTATTTATTTTAGCCCCCCCATTTGTCTGTGATTAAATTTCTGGTTTAGGACTCGAAATGTAAAGTTTAGGACTTGAACTTTATTTGAGACTTGCATGAATCAACAGCAAATAGTTGAGACTTGTGACTTGCACCACAATGACTTGGTCCCATCTCTATAAACCACCCAACATAAGTGTTTAACTGAAAAGTGCTTAGCCCCAAAAAGGATCTCCATGGATAACTGTTACCACAACCTTAGCCCAACACCTTAGCCCTTGTCCTAATGTTTTTTCTAATAATTATTATTATTTAATTTTTTTTGGGATGATTTTGAAGTAGATATAATGGTTTCCCTCTCCAGGCGTGGGATTGAAGATGCATGTTTTGTTGGTACATATATAAATAGCCAGACTGTAGGAAGCTCTACTCCATCCAAGAAAAATGACTCAGTAGGGGCAAGATTGCACCGAAACGATGCAAACATAAGGAAAAATGGTGCACCTGATGGTGGAGCTGATGCTTTGGACACTAAATTGGTTAGTCGAACATCCCCAGCAGAAGCAATAGCTCTGAGTTCAAGGCCTGATAGGAGTGGGGTTATGTGTAAGTGGAGAACTCGGATAACAAAGCTAAATGTGTGTCCAAGATCCAGTGAGAGAGAGAGAGAGAGAGAGAGAGAGAGAGAGAGAGAGAGAGAGAGAGAGAGAGAGAGAGAGAGAGAGAGAGAGAGAGAGAGAGAGAGAGAGAGAGAGAGAGAGAGAGAGAGAGAGAGAGAGAGAGAGAGAGAGAGAGAGAGAGAGAGGAGAGAGAGAGAGAGAGAGAGAGAGAGAGAGAGAGAGAACTGGGCATAATATCGTTCCAAAGTTTCACTGCTGATGTCAGTTTTTGGCGGTGTTTTTCTCCTTCCCCAGTGCTTCTCCTCCTCAGCCTAACAAACTGCTCGCTGGAGCTTGGCTAATCCTTGGCTAGCAGAGCCCAGTGATTTATGATAAAGTTAGCTAATTTAAGGAGATCTGCAGCATCGGTCCTAACAGAAGGACCCCATGACAGATCCTCGCTGTCTCCAACATGGAGTCAGAATTGGCAATTAGTTTGGAGAATACTTGGGCTGTGTGCAGATCAAAGTCCACGTCTGTCAGAGGGAAACATGTGGGACAGTGTCTATATCGTACTGTGTCTGTTTGCCTCAGACTTTGCATGTGTGGACATGTGTGAGCCAGTCTGTCTGAGCCCTATACAAGTGTGATTCAGCCCTGCCAGTACTGGCTGAATGGATGCCCTGTTTGTGCCTTGTTCTTGATGCTAACAGCCGCTCTGGGCCCCTTGCTCTGGAGCAAGTGTTGCACCTTATGTGCTGAAATAACAGGTGTCTTTACAAAGTGACTTAATCCCTCCTCACCTCCCAACCAAACTCTGCAGACGGGGGTGGTTATACTTCACCTGTGGAGTTTGGAGCAGATCCCAGAAAAGTATAGAGAGGTAAAGCGTCATTTGCACAAAAGTTCGAAGCATATTTAGAACCAGACGTCTTACCCAGTCAAGCAGAATATCTCATGAATCACTGGATGGATTTTAATGAAGCTGTCAGGAAGTCTTCATTAAGTGGTCATCTACAACAATTCACTTTTGGAGTTGAACCAGTTTAAGATAAAAATCACAGCTAATCAAATTTAGCTAAAACAAATAATGTGTTGGCGTCAAACAGTGCCATTGTGCATGTTTTTTACTTATGTACTTAAAGTGACACTACCACAAAATTTGACTAGATTCTGTGTTACTTTTTTATAAGGTGAGGTTCACTCTTTTGTTCAATGCATTCGCAGTGTTGTCTGGTAGAAATTAATGCCTTGAAGTCATTCTCGGGGGGTGGGGTGGTGGGGTGTGTGTGTGTGTGTTTGTGTGTGTGTGTGTGTGTGTGTGTGTGTGTGTGTGTGGGGGGGGGGGGTACTGTGCACCGTTTTCCAGGAACTAGAAGTGAGCCACAGATGGCTGAGCTTCAGATGGCAGGATTTGGAGTCTAATTTCCTGATATTTGAACATCTCGCCTCTGATTGGATACCAGCAACACAACTCTACCACTGACTCTGCTTTGCAACTTTCATGTTTTATCTCCACAAATAACACAAGCCTGGATGAGTTCAGCTGTGTGGTGAAGTTGCTAATGCTAATAGTTAGCTTCTACTAGTCGAAACGTTCTCTGCTGTATCCTGGACGCTAAACCAACAACAGCCTTCCTCGTCGTGAGTCCAAATGGGTGAAACCATGAATGTTAAGTGACTGTGTGATGTAGATCTGTCAGGCTTTTCTAATCCTAGAGTTTCACCATCTGCAGTGGGGCAAAAAAGTATTTAGCCAGCCACCGATTGTCCAAGTTCTCCCACTTAAAATGATGACAGAGGTCAGTAATTTTCATCACAGGTACACTTCAACTGTGAGAGACAGAATGTGAAAATAAATCCATGAATTCACATGGCAGGATTTTTAAAGAATTTATTTGTAAATCAGGGTGGAAAATAAGTATTTGGTCAATAACAAAAATGCAACTCAATACTTTGTAACATAACCTTTGTTGGCAATAACAGAGGTCAAACGATTACTATAGGTCTTTACCAGGTTTGCACACACAGTAGCTGGTATTTTGGCCCATTCCTCCATGCAGATCTTCTCGAGAGCAGTGATGTTTTGGGGCTGTCGAGCAACACGGACTTTCAACTCCCTCCACAGATTTTCTATGGGGTTGAGGTCTGGAGACTGGCTAGGCCACTCCAGGACTTTCAAATGCTTCTTACGGAGCCACTCCTTTGTTGCCCGGGCGGTGTGTTTGGGATCATTGTCGTGTTGGAAGACCCAGCCACGTTTCATCTTCAAAGCTCTCACTGATGGAAGGAGGTTTTGGCTCAGAATCTCACGAAACATGGCCCCATTCATTCTGTCCTTAACACGGATCAGTCGTCCTGTCCCCTTAGCAGAAAAACAGCACCAAAGCATGATGTTCCCACCCCCATGCTTCACAGTAGGTATGGTGTTCTTGGGATGCAACTCAGTATTCTTCTTCCTCCAAACACGACAAGTTGAGTTTATACCAAAAAGTTCTACTTTGGTTTCATCTGACCACATGACATTCTCCCAGTCCTTGAGGTCCACGTGGCAGGGGTGAGGTGGTGAGGAGTGAGCACCACCTCACCCCTGCCACGTGGACCTCAAGAAACAAACCATCAACCCTGCTCAATGGTCAACTTTCCTGGCGGGGTCACCCATGAGGACAGTGGGAGGGTTAAGAAACCAGTATATTATACACACACACACACACATATACATAAAAAGTATTCTTCTCAGCCA